GATATATTCTCTTAACTTGGGGATTTCTGGGATTCACAGGCAGCACAAACAATTTTATAAGGCCAGAGTTCACAGTAACTAGAATTCATCAGAATGAACAGATCTGGGTGGCAGTCTGAGTTAACTACTGTTGAGGTCCTATGTGGGCTGGGAGCCCCCTAAACCAGCCTTTCTGAGGACCTTCTTCCCAGGTCTGGGATCAGCAGTAATGATGGTAAATCGGCAATGATGACTATCGATTTTTTGTAGCAGTATGAAACAAACTATGTAGAAAAGTGTAAGTTGGTTTAAAAATTTGACACTTCCCTCTGGATGAGTACTTACCTGAATCATAAAACCAAAGTGCTCACATGTTAGAGTCTCAGCTCTTCAGTCCCCCTAGATTTTTCTATCTATAACACATAACTTTTAATATCAAAGTAGTTTATGCCTGCTGTAGAAAGGGCTAAGACCTTCTGATGACTGGGATTCCAGATTGGAAACTTACCTTAGCCCTAACCCTTTGTTAGTCAGAAGATGACAGATGTCACTCTACTGTTTTCTCCATTATTCCTTTAAGTGGACATTTTCCTATACTACTTCTTGTATGTGCCCGACTGGTTATTTCTTTTATATCCTTGTTCAAGCAGTTCCCCAATTTCTGGGAACATGTCACACCTTCTGCTCCTTAACTCATCCATGTCTAGTGACATACATGCACATTTTATGCCATTGTAAGCTCAGATCAGTGTCAAGCTCAGATCCTGCCTCCTCACCATTTTCACTGAGAATTCCAGTCACATAGATCTCCAGGTTCTCTGAACTTTTACTGTACTCATAGCACTACTGAACTAAGCCTTGTTTTCACTTTGATTTTTGCAAAATCTAGGCGTGGTAGCTCCTGGATTTTCAGTTGTATGAAGAAAGGGGCCATGTCTTCACTTTTCCCGCCCACAGACGAAGCATACAATAGATACTCAGGCAATTCTTCTAAGACCCATAGGTGAGCTCATGAAATATCTCAAGCCAAATACTAACCGGATCACTGACCTTTACCAACTTGGGGTAAGATTTGGAGGATTTAGGAATTGTGGTCTCAAGCCACCACCACAAAGCAGTGAAAACAAACAAACGTATTCGCTAATAGGTACAGAAACTGACAAACTGGAAGTATGGCACAAACAGTTCTAGGGTGGGAAATTCAGAGCATCCAAACTTAATCTTGAGAATTTTAGCAATTGAGTGTTGTTGTGGGGGGTTTTTTGTGTGTTTTTTTTAATTACCAGTTTCCTCTTCAGTGAGGAGAGCCTGCCACCAGTACTCCTGGGCGCTGACTGTGTACACCAGATTGGAAGCTTCCAGAACCTTGGAGTCAGCCGGCAATTTTCTCTGAAGTAACAGAGGCAGAGAAGGGACAGAATAACTCATTCATGGCAAAGGAAACAAGGCAGGCCTCATGAGAGCCTTCAGCAGGTTTCAGCTCATTCACTTTCGGTTCTATGAGAGCCCCATAAGGAACAGACTACATTCTGTATGTCAGGTGTTCCTATCTGTCTACACCTCACAAGGTCAGAAGTTGTTTAGAAATTGCTGCACAGAAACTATTCCCTTGGGAGTTAAAATGGTAATTCTAAAAGGAAATGCAGAGAGAAAATAATTCAAAAGTGTGTTTAAATGTTCAGAGAGGGGAAAGTGCCAGGATTCTTTTTGGAAAAAAGAAGCACAACCCTGGAAAAGGCAGTGATGTGCTGGAGGCAGCTTGTACCAGCTCTGAGAGCCAACTGTACATACACAGCTCTCCCCAACTCTGCCTTCAGTGGCATCATACTGATAGGTTAAAACTAGCAATGGTGGGAGTATTTACACCATGGGAATTGGCAAACATTACAAATCATCCCCCCCCCCCGCCCTTTTTAAAAATAGAGCTGATTACTAAATACTTCTCAGCACAATACGAAACTGGAAAAAGGTTCTATAAAAGTGCAAGTTTTTGAGCTGGGTGGTTAGTGAGTTATCATACACATTTAAGTATGTGTATGAAATAATGCTTAAGCAAATTTCTTAAACGTCAAGAAATTAAGAATCCGGTGAGAAAAATTTTTATGATGAGAAAAACATCATCACAGACAAATCATACTAGAATTATGTATAAACGTTGTTCCATAATCTTTCATTTATCTCACCCGAAAGAGAAGAACCATAAAGAGTGTATGTATGGTTATCTGGGGGTGGTAGAAGAGAGTAGAGAGTTGTCAATCTTTTTGAGGCAAAGATATGAAAGAGCTGAGTAAGTAGTCCCCTGGCAGAGGGGAGAATTCACATCTCTGGCAAGCTGTCAGCCCATGTAGTCAAGGTTGCGCTAGAGCTGCGGGCTAGGCTTACAGGAGCCCCCTACACTCGAGTAGTCGTTGTGTGACAGTAAAGGAGAGACACCCAGGAGAAGAGTAGGTTTTCTTTACAGGTGTGCTAAAGCAAAAGCAACATGCTGTGTAATAACCAGTTCGAGTAGCATGCCTGAGAACGTCAAAACCCAGCTCGCTCTTACTTGCCAAATACCTGTGGATTGACCTCCCTATATCTCTTGAATGTATCTCCTCTATTCCTGTAGTGACTACCTATTTCAGACTCTTAACTAACCCTCACAAATGGCCTGTCTACATACAATCTTCATACAACCCTCTCCCCACCCTTCCATTCACCATATTGCTGAGAAAACAGTCTTTCTACAATGCATAATACAGTTGAACCTTGAAGAACATGGGTTTGAACTTTGCGGGTCTGCTTATACTTGGATTTTTTTTCAATTGACCTCAATTCAAACCCACATTTTTAAGCGTCTCCTCACTTTGAAAATTTGTGTATGCAGAGGGCTAACTGTGGTTATACACATATTATTTGACTGCACAGGAGGTCAGTATCCCTAACACCCACATGTTCAAGGACAACTGTATTTCCAAACTGTTGTCTATAAATGTACTCTCCAGGGTCTGTAGTTGTTCTTACAATATTTTTTCTTAGTTTTTATAATAAAAAAATAAGCATGGACACCTATATGAATGACTCCTTTATGGTCAATCTCTGTCTCATATTTTCTATAATTAAAATTAAATTTGCTCCAAATGAAAGCATGAAGTACAGGTAATTCACAATAATTCAAACGGAAATAAAGTGGTTGGAGAATGATGGCATCACCTAGCTATCAGTAGGGTAGGTGTTCAGACCTCAAAATAACTTGTACTGTAATCGTCAGAACGATAGTCACCCCACAGGCTGATGGATTGAGACCACACCCTATTTTGCATACACATCAATTTGCCACATTCGTGAGCAATAAATATAGTTTTTAATTATGTATTAAAACATTTTATGTTTCTATTTCTAGAAACAATACAATTAGGTACTCATAAAGTGCATATTTTTTAATGTCACAAAAACGATTAAAGAGAATAAGAACAGCTTTACTGAATTATTGCCTCGTTAAAACCAGCATTCAAGAATGACTTGTTAGAAGACATTGGCTTAAGTATGAGGTCTGATTATTCTGAATTAGAAACAAAAGCTTTGAAATTTTCAATTCCACATTGCGCTTCAGACATTTTCTGCATGGATGTAATTGAAGTCGAAATACAGAAAGCAGTTAAATATCGAAATGGACATACGGCCATATGTTTTTACTATTAAACCCAGCACTGAAGATTTCATTTCAGCAAGACCATATCATCTATCACATTATACTAACTCAGATATTGACGTTTTGTTTATATTTTATCTGAAAATTGGTTTCAGTTTTATAGTTGTATAAGACTTGATAGTAAGGAGTTTTATGTGTGTACTAGTACTTATTTCAGTGACAGACAATAAAAATAATTTAAGAAAACACTAAGAGTCCCACAGACAATTATACAAGCCTGAAAGATAGAGCTCAGGCCTTATCCCCCAACACCCATGCATATACCCTTTGCCGAGCTCTTTGAAACTACTTACATTGAGTTTTGCTGAGCTCTTTGAAACTACTTACATTGAGTTCACCGTGCAGAACAGGCTTTTGCAATCATGTTCTTCCCTCCATCTGATACTGGTTCTTTAAAACTCAGTTCACGAGGCTGAGAGTCTTCCCTGAACCTCTACCCAACACCACCTCCCCGACTGCCAATGTGATTGAGCGTTCTCCTTCTGTATTCCCACACCGCCCCATGCATTGCTCTAGCCAAGCACACCTTCAACTGTATGGTGATCCCTAATTTCACCTGCACGTATTTCTCAGCAGATGGTATGCTCATTCAATGCTTCCAACAATCATAAGAGGTAGGTATTGTTATTTCCATTTTCCAAATGAGAAAATGGAGGTTCAGAGAGGTATAGTAATTTGCCTAAGGTCACAAAGTTATTAATTAATAGAACTAAGTTAAGTCCAAATTGTCTACTCCAAAACTTTTGTCCTTGCTACTGCCCAAGACCAAGTAGACATTTGTTTCTCAAAATCTGAGTGGTTGAAAAGCAGAAAAATACATAGGGAAATCCATTAACTCACCTTTAGTTTTTCCTTGAGAATTCTATTCCTTTGTAGTTTTATCATTTCATTTCTTTCTAAAACAGCTTCTCGCTGACTTTGAATAGCTTGCTAGATTGTGAAGGGAAATAGAAGCATGGCAAAGAATACACAATTATCAAGAGTGATGACGTGCAAGATGCATGTTTTATTAACAGATCTTCATTTGGCCCAGACAAATGTGCATGTATTTAAATTATATAATATTAATCACCAAAAGCATTATTTAAAAATAACTAGTCCATGCATATGTCCAAGATATTTACATTAAATGTGTGCAATTTGGGGGCATATCAATTATATCTTAGTAGAGCTTTAAAAATTAAAAATAAAAATAACTGGTCCATACTTACATTTCCCACTTTCCTTTCCCTGCAATGAAATTAGGAAATTATAACCATTACTTAACTCATTATGTGTCACGGCAGTCTTTTGACTTTTCCCAAAAGCAGCAGATACTATCATGACTCGATGCCTTTGTCTAACCTCTTTCTTCAGCCCAAATGCTCTCTCTTCTGATCCACCACCAGTGTCCATTTGAAAAAAAGTGTCTTTATTTCTCAATGTTTTGTCATCGGTGGAATTTTCTGTGACTCACCCCCTGACCCAATCAAAACACCTCTCTCTCTCGGTTCCCACAGTACTCTGCTTGTCCCTCTCCTCTAAACTTTAACCCTCTTTTAAGACGGTGACCTTGGTGACAAGGCAATATGCATCTCAGAATTGGCAGCCCCAACCACTGTGTTCAATAAACATTTAATAAATTGGATTGATTTAGGTTTAGTTTTAGAGTTGGCATTGGCAAGGGATAGCTTTAGATATTATTCTGTGGTAGGGGTTGAGTTGAATGAAATCTGCTGGGGAGGGGGGGAGAGAAGGGGGAAGGAAAATGAAACTGAAATTCCAACCTAGACCATGAGAGCAAGAAGCTAGGTGGAGAAGCCTTGACCTATTTCTTCACTGAGGAAGTTTTCTATGCTTAATAAATTCCTGGAGACACCAAACTCAAGTTACAGAGGGTGTGGGTGAAATGGAGGAGGTGACAGGTAAAGAAGCTTTTGTTAGAGCAGAGAAGCATCAACAAAGTTATATCCCTGGACCGTATGTCCATATACCCAGCACAGCCCAATGTATACCGCTTTATACCTGCTGATCCTTTGTAATAGCTAATAATACCCCTTTCACTTTCAAAGTGTCCCAATGTGGAAGATAAGTTATAGTCTCCCTAGCTGTGTGTGTGTGGGGAGGGGGGCGGGATCTACATGGAAATCAACATAAATCAACATCTACTAAACTCTAAATACTTATCTTTCATTGTTGTTGTTGGAATATAATATGTAAGAATGCTTTTAATTTTGGCCAAAGTTCTAAAACTTTGAGAACTTTGTTCCAAATGGGTTTTTAAATCTCAGGAGTAGACAAATCCGAAAACAGAATCTGACACTTCAGTGCTGCACCGTGCCAGAGAATATTCTAGAAAGTGCCCACTAGCTGTGGCAGCATCTCCATATTCCATCTCTGGGGCCCAGGCAGGACCATCACACCACACTCGCGAGTGGCACCCCGGAGCTATGGAGAGAATAGCCTGTTGGGTGTTGAGCAGCTACTCTGGAAGAGGGGCCACCGTGGCTCCGATTCCTGAGCCAGTCCACTCAAGGGTCCTGACGTCCCAGCAAGTCCCCTAGACTTCTCGTGCATCCCCAACAGTCACTTCCCTGAGTACACAATGCCCACCACATCCTAAAGTCAAAGCTCCGTCACCCCTGTAGCCAGGACCCATGGAGGAAAGCCCACCTCCCGGCACGTCCAGCATGGTACCTTAGATATTCCGGCAGGTGGAGTTTGTCGGTCTTGGTGACCACCAGGGCAACGTCCCTGCAGAAACCCCGCTGGCAGGCTTTGATGCTCTCATTCAGAAGGTCTTCGTGGGCTCTCCCTCCAGACACCCTCTCAATGTCACTGATCACCCAGATCACTGAGCATTTATCAATGGTCTGTGAAGCATGACCACAATAAGATTAAGAACATAAATGGTGTAACGGTCGTAGAGGACATGATTCCTTAATGTATCATTTATGTCCTCCATGCTCTGCCTCTGTCTCTATCTCTATCCCAACTCTCCCCCCCGCCACCACACTCTCTGTGCTCCAGCCATGCTGAGCTTCCTTCAGTGTCTCAGATGTAATTCTGTCATCTCTCAGGGTGTTTGCACGTGCCACAACCTCTTGTTGACCTCCACTTGCCCTTTGAGAATCTGCTAAGGGCCCCCTAAGGACGGGTGGGCCACCCCTCCTCTGCATCCTACAGCACCCGGACTTCCCTGCCACAACACCTCTCAGGCAGAGTTGTTGTACAGGGTTGGCTCTCTGCACCTTCCCCATCCAGATCGTGGGGTACCTGATGGGAAGGGGCTGTACCGTTCAGCTTGGAATCCACCTCACCTCAAGCACAGTGTGTGGCCATAGCGGAGGCTTCCTAGATGTTGGTGGCATTAGTGATTGATGGAATTCAAGAAGTCAGATCTCAATGACCAGATCCTTTACTGGCTTGCTTGGCCTTACTTGTCCTCTAGAGGAAATTATTGTTTTTCCAGAACTAGTTCTGGTCATGAATCTACCCCAAACCTATCATCCTTTTGATGTTTGACTGTCCCTGAATATTCAGCGCCCTGCCATCACGTGTTAGCTGGGAGCCAGGAACCATATGAGTCAAGTTACAAAAGTCAATGAACATGAAATTACAACTAATGACTAATAGCACAAATATCGCTATCATCAAATAAGCAACTTTCATGTGATGAGTAATTGTGTGTTGCCTTGTGATGTTTCTCTTACTGTATTGCTTCACTTGTCTTCTCTCTCCCTAAAAATGAAAAGCTGGTCCAACTCAGCAATGAAGTTTATTTGCGGTTCTTTAGAACAGCTCTTTGCACATAAAGGTATGACAAGTTTGTGACTTGCTAATTAAGTCATTATTTTTGCTTTATACCAATAGCTCTTAACTGGTGATGATTTTGTACCCCAGAGGACATTTGGCGATGTCTGGATGCCATTTCAATTGTTATGACATGGGGGCACTGGAGGGCGGAGGTCAGGGATGCTGCTGAACATCCTACAATGCCCAGGTCAGCACCTTCAACTGAGAATTTTCTGCCCCAAATGTCAATAGTGCTGAGGCTGAGAAACCTTGATCTAGATTCATGGGGTTCAAACTTGTATTTTAGCAGTGGAGCCCTTTTCAAATGAAATCTTACAAAGAATTCCAATTGGGGCCCTAACTGGTTTGGCTCAGTGGATAGTCAGCCTACGGACTGAAGGGTCCCAGGTTCGATTCGGTCAAGGGCACATGTCTGGGTTGCAGGCTCGATCCCCAGTAGGGGGCGTGCAAGAGGCAGCCAATCAATGATTCTCTGTCATCATTGATGTTTCTATCTCTCTCTCCCTCTCCCTTCCTCCCTGAGATTAATAAAAATATATTTAAAAAAGAATTCCAGTTGGGGATGGAAGGTTTGGAGCCCCAACCTGGTCAGAACCCCCCACCTCTGTCCATGAATCTCTTGGTTTCATGGGTTATTGTTTTAAAATCATCAATCTCTATAATAAGACAAACTTTACTGTTTGTAGAGAAGACAATAGGCCTGAGAGGCAAAGGACCAGCATAAGGACACCCATGGGTCTGAATCTCCTCCCTGTGTGGATGAACTCACATCTATGTTGGGGGAAAACAATGCTCCCTCCCACTTCCCAAATTATAATCAACTTCAGGAAGGCTTCAGGCTATTCAGGCAGGTTGTGAAAGATCCTAGAATATCAGGCTGCAAGCTCTTCAAGGGCAGGTCCTTTTTCACCTTTATATTGTGAAAATTATTAATAAAATAATAAAAACTCATTTAAAATGGAGTCCGTAGGGTAGAAGAGAGAACTCTTACACTCACCACTCAGCACACACTACTGACCTCCACGGGAAATGACTTACCCTGCATCTCTAACAGGAAGTGACACCACCTCTCTGCCTCCTTGCCCGGTAACAGCCCAGCCAATGGGAGACGGCCATAACTCAATCAATAAAAGGTCACTATACTCTGAACTCTCCGTTTACTTCCAATGGACTCTTTATTTACTACAGCTCCTCCCAAGACCATACAAGAGCATTCTTCTCCTTCGTTTCTCTGGGCTTCTGTGTTGTTCACCATTAGACTGAATGTCCCGAATTGCAATTCTTTATTGTTCCTGAATCAACCCATTTTGCTGGAAAAATATCTGGCTGGCTGTTTGTTAAAGGTCAACAATTTTCCCCGGGGTCCTGGTAAACTATGGGTACTTAACAAATGTTTATTAACATGAGAAGAGGACTGCAACCAGAAGGTGGCAGTGGTTACATTTCAGGCCCTCCACAATGCCCTACCTGCCAGGATTTGGTCAAGTTAGCATTGAAGAGGACACCAAAAAGCTTGTCTCTAAGGAGTGACTGGACTTGGGAGTGGGTGGGATGGCACCTCTGCCACTCCATCTCCCTCCCTCCTGGAGGTGAGAATGGGCCTCGGAGAGTTCAGGTGACATGTCTAAGGTCTCAGGACTTCTAGGTGTCAGAACAGGGAGGTCTGGCTGCACAATTATTTTCATTTAGGGAAGGCAAGCTGGCAGCTGGAGAGATGGGGCAGGGGTGTTGGCTCTGTTCTCCCTGGAAAGAAGGAAGTCTTTAGTAACTTCTTGTGAGAGGAGATCGCAAAACCACAAGAATGCAGGGGAGCCAAGGCCAAGCAGAGCACGCTGGGAACCATCCCTTCGCTTCAGCCGGACCTCCTCAGAGCCGGTGTTCTGAGCCAGATCTGCTGGCTCCTCTGTTCTGAGTGGCCTTTGATAAGCTGCCCAGTGTATCTGAACTGGCGGCAACCACGGCTCCATCCAGCGAGAGAAGCTGGCTGCCTCCCTAGGCTGTCGCTCCCTGGGCCTGGCCTGGAACTAACCAAGGCTGGCAATTCCTCTCCATGAGCCGAGACCCTGCAGAAACAAGGTTCTCACGGCCAGGCCTGCGCTGAAGGATCGAGAAGAAGGCGACTGCCTTCATCTTAGAGAACTGTGAGGGGACATCCTGAGGGAGTGATAGATAAAGCCTCAGCTGGGAAGGTAGGAACCTGCCCTCTAGTTCAAATTCTGCCACTCAATAGCTGTGTGGTCTCGGGCAAATGACTTCCCCTCTCTGAGCCTCATTTCTTCCCTGTAAAATCAGGGCATAGGCTGCTGAGCTGTAAGCTGTCATCCTGACCCTATCATCCTGATCTTGATCGGAAGCCAGTCACAAGGCTCCCCTGGCCCACCGTCCCGCAGCTTCGGCACTGATTGGGACTCACTGCTACGGGCCCTTCCTCCCAGTCCACATCCAGCTCCGGTCCTGTGGCCGCTCTGTTCCCACCCTGTGCTCCTGAGCTCCTTCTGCCTAAAGATGCCCTTTCTTGCTCTATCACACACCCTGGTCCCTCGTGACCTTTGAGCTTCCCCAGGAAGCATGGTATTAAAGCCCACCCCCAACATTTCCAGGCTTGTCTCTGCACCTCTCTCTACACCGCACACCCGCTTCTCCCTCCAGCCACCCAGGAAGACTCATCCTTCCCCCAACCCCCAGCTCCCTCGGCCCACTGGCTCTGGCCAGTGCTCAGTGGTCCCGTTTCCAACCGCCTTCTCTGCCCGGTGGAGGCTGAGCTTCTGTGTCCTCTCTGAATCCTCACCACCTCCAAACTGAAATGGTCACTCCGTGCTCGCATTTTTCAGTAATATTGTTCGTTCACTAGTATGACCGATTTATTCCCTTCTGGACTAGGAGACTCCCAAGGACAAGGGCTTTGTCTCTGTCCATCTGGAATCTACTATAAAATTGAATAGATGCCCTGTAGGTGTTTGTTGAAGAAATGAAGAAATGAGAGTTCCTATTGGAGGTCATTTCTACTTTTGAGTGTTCACAGCACCTTGTCCCTCTATCACATCACTTTCTGCCATGGATTTAGTCGTCTGTATGTTTGTCTCTCCTGCCAGGCTCTAGGCCCTTTGTGGGAAGGCTCTACTTCTCATTCAATGTTGTCTTATTTTGCTTTCAACCTTTTAGTGTAACGATAATACATGTTCATATAAAATATACAAACAACACAGAGATGTATGTAGTTAAGAGTGGTGGTAAACACAGAAACTGCTGCTAACAATTGGGTGTATATCTTTCCAGAAGACTTTAGCTGTGTGTTTATAAACATCACACACACACACACACACACACACACACACACAGACACAGACACACACATACACACACATACACACATCACACACACACACACACACACACACACGCTTCTTAACGTTAAAGGTTATGCTCTGCCTCTTTTCGTTCACTGTCATCTTGACTGGGTTAAGTTCCCCAGCGTTATAATGGGCAACTTACTTCACTGAGAATGGTGCCCAGCACAAAGTAATTGCTCAGTAAGTGTGTGCTGTTATTATTTTTATCTATAATCTTTGCATCCTCAGTGCTTAGTATATTGTTATATATGTTTGATGAATGAAAAGCAAATGAACAATGAGATAAATTCTTAAAAATTCAGCCTCCAGGTGCAGGTCAAATTACTCCAATGTGTAACTCTGCCTGTAGACACATCTGGGGGTTCCTGGTCAGCTCATACCCTATTTGTTGGGAATTGAACCCCTATCTAAGATTTTGGTTGAACAGGTGGACTTTCATTTCAACCCCACCATCAGCCACAGCCGATTGCGATAGGGCTGGATATTTAATCCAAAGAGAGCTAATCTATTTGCTGGGCAGGAATCAATCATATTTTTCCTCTTGGGAATTTGAACTAAAAAACACAAAGATTATATAGTCAGACCGTCATGGGCACTTGGACTACATAATGTGATTTAGAGACAGGGCTAGGGTGGTTATTTTCCACAATGTGGATCTTAATGGCTAAGTAGAGAAGTCAGAGAGAAGCAGGCCTCTGCAGAGATGCACAAAGAGAGACCCACACGAGACCAAGCAGAGAATGAGATAAAAATAGCTGCTTCCATCCTGAGAGGTGACCCTGAGGCCAGGCTGGGTCTCATGGGATCCTCTGATGAATAGCACTTCACGTGGGATTGCTTTCTTGAGTTTCTGTTCCTAACAACCAACCATAGTAGCAGCCTCCTGTTTCCTTGGTGCCTGACTGTCGGCTTCTCTGCTTTCTACCCAACTCTTGGCCTTCCTCTCCCCATCTGCCTGGTTTCCTCTGTTTATTCGTAGGCCACTCTCCTGCTGACCCTTCTCTTATACACATCTTGGTCCAGCTACCAGGCCCGCCTCATGATTCCTAACTCTCCGGTTTCTCTGGCCACCCATATCCTGCTGTTGCCCTGAGGCTTAGAACATGGAAAGTGGAAGAATTTAACTCCAGTGAACTCATACAATCCATTAAGCTGAAAGCAGAGAATTCTTTGTTGCTTTAGAAAGGGTGGAGGAATTGAGGGAAAAGGGAACAAAGTCATACGAAAGAGAGTCACCTTTTTCCACATCTCATCCCTCTTGCTGTTGAAGTCCCCTGTGCCTGGAATGTCCACCAGCACGACCCCTTCTGGAATCAGCTCTGATTTGGGAAGAGTCACTTCCACATGTTTGATCAAGGGCCAGATTTGTGACTCCGCTGAGTCTCCATCCCAGTCTCTCCTCTTAGTCCTGATGTAGGGGTCCAGCTTGACAGACAGCTCTCCTGCCTGAGGAAGGAGGAAAAGGTCACACACATCAGACCTTCTCCCAGCATTTCTATCGTGGATGAGCTAGTGATTCAGGTTCATGGAAGGTACACTGAGAAATGGTAGGAAGCAGCAATGGCCTGGCCAGCATGGCTCAGTGGTTGAGCGTCGACCTATGAACTAGTAGGTTACGGTTCAATTCCCGGTCAGGACATATGCCCAGGTTGTGGGCTCTATTCTCAGTGTGGGGCATGCAGGAGGCAGCCAATCGATGATTCTCTCTCATCATTGATGTTTCTATCTATCTCTCCCTCTCCCTTCCTCTCTAAAATCAAGAAAAATATATGGGGGGGGGGGGCGGCAGGAGAGCAGCAATGGGTACCAGGAAGCCTGTGATCTAGTCAATAAGGGCCTACAGTCTGAGAGTCAGAATGAACTTGGAGATCAAGGAGTTCAAGCTCCTCAACTGAGAGATGAAGAAACTAGAGTCAGTTAGGATGGGACTTCAGTAAAGTTAGAGCTTCGCCAGATAAACGTTTTATCTCCCAAATGCCATTTCAATTCTAAAATTCATGTAATTAATCTGCAATTTTTCTAAAATTTGGAGGGAGAGGATTCTTCCGGCATGGCTAATATGAACATTTTAATTACCAGCGAGTCCAGATTACAGAAAATGGATAGTGATATGGTGACCATCATTTCCAAACTGAAAATTGGTCTGAAAATGATCTTTAAAAAGGTTTTTAAAAGTTATCTTTCAAGTTCAAAAAATACGTTGATATGTGGGCATTTCTAGGATGTTTTAATGGTGGTGGGTGGAATGGCAAATTGTTCTCAGCCTATTGTTTCTTCCTAGACATACCTTGGGACAATGACACATTCATGCCAGCAAATATGTGTAGCAGCAAATTTCTACTGGGCTACTTCAGGGGACAGAAGATTTGGGATGTATGGTGGTCGTTGTTAATAAATATCTATAGAATGTTCCTGTAAGAAAGATAAGGAAGTAAATTCTTAAGAGAGTGGAGATTAAATCAGGGGGTTATTGTAATCTGGGTAGATAGTTGATAGATTTCATCCATTTTAATTATATAAGAAATTATGAAAGAGGAGATGATAAAAGTTCTTTAAGATATTTTATTTTAAAAAAATAAGGTAGAGACAACAAGGGTTACATAAAAGAAAAAGCATGGGCTTGCAAAGTCCCTTCTGATTGGCCAGCATGGCTCAGTGGTTGAGCGTTGACCTATAAACCAGGTCATGGTTCGATATCTGGTCCCCAGGTTGCAGGCTTGATCCCCAGTGAGGGGTGTGCAGGAGGCAGCCGATCAATGATTCTCTCTCATCATTGATGTTTCTATCTCTCTCTCCTTCTCTCTTTCTCTCTGAAATAAATTTAAAAATACATATTTTAAAGTCCCTTCCTAGAAGAAGAAGGTTCAAGCCAATAAACTGGCTCTGGGTAAACCATTCTGGAAGACAAACTCAGATTCCCTTAGGCCAGTCTAGAGTCCCTGACCCAAATTCTGAATCTGTGCCCTCTCACTCACTGAGATGGTCATTCTTTCCCCTTGTTTTAGTGGATAAATTTGTAATCCTGGGAAGGAGTATTTCCAAATATAGAATAGTTAAGAAATAAATGTTATATTGATACCTTGGTGTAAGTTGTGTATGCAGATAAAGTAACCACTGTTATAATCATTGTGTTTCTTTGGACATGCTCAGTCTATGTTTTAGATATTAAGATTGTAATTATTTTTAATAGTAACATCCACTTAAATATAAGAAATGTCTATTACATCTAGATAAACAAAAGCTAAGTGCCTTAAGAGATTTCATTCATTTGTCTCCTAAGTGTGCCTTTTAAATATTTTAAATTTAAATTTTTGAAAGAATTGAATATATTAAATTTAAACTATAATAGAAAAAGTCTAAAGAAATTTGACTTATTATGCAAGTAGCATTAACTATTTGAGGAGGGTTGGCTATGTTAAACTTAGGAGATAATTGAACACTAAATTTTAGAGCAATTATAGAATAATAATATTTTAAGGATGAATTTTAACATGCAAGAAAAACTAGGTTTAGCCAGGCCAGCGTGGCTTAGTGGTTGAGCATTGTCCTATGAACCAGGAGGTCACTGTTCGATTCCCTGTCAGAACATATCCCTGGGTTGCAGGCTCATGATCCCCAGTGTGGAGTGTGTAGGAGGCAGCTAACCAATGATTCTCTCTCATCATTGATGTTTCTCTCTCTCTCTTTCTCCCCCCCCTTCCTCTCTGAAATCAATAAGAACACATTTTTAAAAAGAAAAGAAAACTAGGTTTTTAAATGTACAACATTAATAAGTTGAATATTTGTTCCACAAGTATTTAGTTAACTTAAAACAGAATTTTCATTTAATACAATTAATATTGATTATAAATATAGTATAATCTATTAAGTGTGTGTCTAGTATCCATCCTAAAGGAATCCTGATTGTTTCTCTGTGGAGGTAGTGAGTTGAGAGTGGTCTTAGCTGGTCAGGACAAGTCGGTCTCTTGCTTTCTCTAGACAGACTCCCTTTCAGCTAGGGAAGGCCATGTGAATCAGCTCTGAACAAGTAAATGTACACAGAGATTTGTTGGGGTGTTTCTGGGAAAGCTTCTACCTTCCAGTGAAAGGGAAGGTGTGGTTGGTGCCACTTTTTTATCCATGTCTTCCTTCCCTGAAGCTAGCTGTGAAGTCTAGCGCTTCAGTAGCAATCTTACGACCAGGAGATAACAAGTATGGTGGAGGCCAAGGGAACCAGAGAGATATTGATCTTGACATCGTGCAGCCACTGAGCTAATCCACAAAGCCAACTGCCTCCAGACTTCTTGTGTGAGAAAATGAGTAAGTCCCTATTTGTTTAAGCCATTATAGTTGGATTTTTTTTTTAATCATTTGCTGCCAAAAACATCTTTGATTAATCCTCAAGTCAGTGTAAATACTCCTTCAGTGCACAAAAGCTCCCTAAAAATTCCCATTTGACAGCCATAAACAATGAAAAATAATTTGGTCATGGATACTTCTGACACTTGCTTAGATGAGACATGAAAGCCAGCAATTAAATTATTCTTAAAATTTTTTAAATTTTGAAGTATAAATAAACTTTAAAAAGAGGGCTAGTGCAAAAATACAGTGTCCTGAATATTCTGGGCACTGCAAAAGTCAGATGTTGAATAAAGCTTTGACCAAAAAAAACAACAAAACACAAAAAAAATCTTATTTCCAATATAAAACTTGCAATACCTTGAGCAAATCCCCCAAATGGATTCAGTTGTTATACTTAAGACTCATGATAAATAAAGAAAAAATATCTTGAAGCTACTACCTCTTCTGCCTTGAGGGTGATGATTCTAGAGGTGGGAATCTTTCCTTTGGGCTTTGCTCTTAGTAATTCCTCATAGGTCTTCCTTTCCGCCCCATTTCCATAAAGCATTTGTAGCTTCCAGATGGCTTCCTCCACTGCATCATCCCCGTCCCACACATCCGCCTCTTCTCGGCCCAGCTCCTCTGTCCTGTGCAGGAGTTTAGTCAAGTTCTTCAGCTCCTCCTTCCACTCCTGCCAAGGCAGAGTAGGGCCAAGCCCCTCGTGACACAGACATGAAAAACACTGACAAGGAGAGGAGGGCATTGTCCCGGTGGAGGGACATACTCAGGAAACCTAAAACCACCCAATCCAGCCAGGGATTGTCTAACCCAACCCAACCCCCTTGTTTTGTGGATGAGGAAACAGGGACCCACAGAGGGAAATGGCTTCCCCCAAATTCCCATCATGAATGGTGACAGAACCCCATCTTGCTCTATTGAACTTTCACATTCCATACTATGTTCTCTTCATTCAACAAAGGCATGAGCTATATGCATAAGGAACAATGTTAATCTCTAAGAGAGAGGGAGAAGGAAAGAAAGAAAAAGAAAGGAGGGTAGAAGGGAGGGAGGGAGGGAGGGAAGGAGGGAGGGAGGGAGGGAGGGAGGGAGGGAGGGAGGAAAGGAAGAAGGGAGGGGAAAAAAGAGGAAGAAAGGGAGGAAAACTGGAAGGGAAGGAGGAAGGCATGAAGGCAAGAAGGCAGGAAGAATGGAGACACTTACCTGGTCAGAGAGAAGGTGGATTTTGGCCTCATACTGCTCACAGCAGCCTGAGCTCACTTGTACAATGCATGACGTACATATACTTTCTCCAGACACTGGTAGAAACATTGCTTGCTGGATGATGGCATTGATCAGGGAGCTCTTCCCAGCCCCGGTGCTTCCAAATAATCCAATGTAGATTGGGTCCAATGACGGTTTTTCAATCAAAGCAAGAAGCCTGTTTCTAGATCAAGTTTTAAGTGCACATTGCCACGGTCATCAAAGCACAGTGGGAAGAACATCAGAATAGAACACAAAGGAACTGAGTTCTAATCCTGAGCAAGTCACAGCATCTTTCTGAGTCTCTGCTCGCTATGTGGTCAAAGAGGAATATTAATCCCTGTTTACTCCACGGAGTTGTCATGGGGATCAAATGAAGTTATGCAAATGTACTTGGTAATTCTACTCAAAAAGAATGATACTTCTACATAAACTCTGTAATGTTTTTATATAGATGGGAAGCATCCTTGTTTGTGTTCTATGGAAATTACATAGTCTTAACCCTAGAAATAGTTTATGCAGAGGAAAAGTATTACAGTGGGGCTTTAACTTACGAGTGTCCCGACTAAAGAGTATTTTGAGATATGAGCCATCTCTCGGCCGATTTTTTGCTTTGAGTTGCAAGCTAAAATTCGGGTTACAAGCCAGCTTCAGATACCCCACCGCTAGTTGGCGCAGCGAATGTCACAGTGAACGCCACAACATCAGCCCAGCATCATGTGTCTCACTCGTTCACTTTTTGATTTGACATACGAGTAATTTGAGTTACGAGCTCCGTCACGGAACGAATTAAACTCTTAAGTCAAGGCCCCACTGTATTAGGAGCAACACAGAGTTTTACTGAGTAGAAGATGCAGCCTTGGCACCACTCAAGTCCCTCAAGTCAGCTCAGCACAGCAGTTGAGGGCACAGGCTCAGTCACACAGTCTAGGTTGGACTCTGGGACCTTTGAGTGACTTACCAACAGTGTGACTTTGGTCAATGTCTTGGCCTCTCTAAGCCTCTATTTCAGTAGAATGGGATGATAAGAATAGAGTCCACTTTATAGGGTATTGGGACACTTACATGAAATTTGATCTATGTAAAGTATCTATCAGATCGCCTAGCAACAGTGAAGGCTCAATGAGCAGGAACTATCAGTGGTATTAGCAATGGCCTATAGCTATGGAAAATCTTCAGCTTTCTTACTTAGTTCCTACTTCAAATTTTCCTTTTGTTGTTGGAGAAAAGCACCTACAATCACCTAAAGAAAGACATTGAAGTAAGATTTGAGGGCCGTCGACATCAGACTCACATGAGATACTTGAGTCCATTCGGAATGCTGTCATCCAGGAAGACACACTGAATAAGTTTCTGGTAAGTGTTGCTCAAAACCCTTCTGGTCCGTGACTCCAGCTTTTCATCTGGAATCAATAGAGATGCATTACCTGGGGTGTACCTGGCCGGGGTCAAGTCCTAGGTCTCCACAGGTGGAGTCTGCTCAACATTATAGAAAGAGAGAGGAAAAAAGAAATGAAATGGAAAACCAAGTAAACAAGATCGAAAGTTATCTGACACTAGAGAGAACAGCCCATGGGAGATAGCGATCATTGATCCTGACAGCCTCTCCAGTAGCCAGCCTGCTCTGAAACTCCTTGTAACAGAAGTCAGCATAGGCTTTGCCATGGGTGCTAGTGCTTCTAGATTCTTCTCTCCTCTGATCATTAGAAGAAAAATGGTCACCTGAAACTCATATAACATCGTATGTCAACTATACTTCAAAAGAAAAAGAAAAAGGGAAAACAAGCGAGGGCATCGTATACATACCCACAAAACCCCACACCAACACTTTTCAGTCTTTAATGAGGAAGAAGTTATTTTCATAATAACCCTCTTCTCCAGAGACTGCTAGAGATAACTTGTCAAATTACATCTCTGCAGAGACTATGCGGGCTCCTTTTCCTGGTCCCGGTCCTTTGAAGATGTCTCATTCTGCTCCTGAATTTAACCTTCCCTTCCTTTGAGCATCGGAACACATTTGGAAAAGAACAGAGCTGCGTTTTAAAAAAACAACAACAACAAACCACTATTTAACAGTTTCGTAACACTCACATTCCTTAAGAGCGCTTTGTTCTACGGAGGGAAATGCTCGGAACCGCTGGTCTCTATCGGATCGTCTTCTTTTTTTCATCGGTTCCTTAAACAGGTCACCATCAACTAGAGCAAAACAGAGGTGATATAACATGACAGGCCTCGGGCCATGGTATATTTGCCTGACCTCTATCAATACACAAACCCAAAGAGCCCAAGAGGCCCCCTGCCAGCTCCGCATGCCTGGGAGCTCGGTTCAGAAGCAGGCACTGTGGGGCCATTCCAGTCTGCTTCCCACTTCCCAGGACTTCTCATCGAATTCCAAAACGCAGGGCCCAGCATATCTCCTCCCGAGGAGATGTTGAAATGAAATGAAGAGTTCCTGTTTGGAAACACTGAGAAGCCAACATGGCTCAGTATTCTTCACCAAGTGCCAACGGTATAGAGAGAAGCCCAAGACGGGGCTAAGTGCGGAGTGAAGAAAGGGCTCTGGGAGGTCTTTGCAAACTGGGAAAGAAATTGATGGGGAGCAGAACACAGAGGACAGAACGGCCCGCATGGACCAGGGCAGATCATTTCTCCATCAGCCTCAGTCTCTTCATCTGCAAAATGAGAAGGGCTGACAAGAAAATACGTGTCCCACAAGTTTTGGAGGGTGCTCTACCACTGGGTGCCCTTCAGAGATGAAATCTGGGGACTTTTCCCCCTTCCTCACTGGAAGTCATCAACAGCTGCTTCCTTGTATAGACAAGAACAGAAATCGCCAAGAAGCGGATCTTTGTCGTTCTGGGGAGACTTTATCATGTTAGTGGTTTCCCTGAAACGGCTGGCAGGGTCCACACTCCTCGGGAAAAGGATTGGTTTTATAAAAATAAAAAAAACAATTGATAAGACACTGTATTTTGGATTGGTTTTAGCAAACATCCCCCAGCAGTTAGAATGGGGCAACAGTTGGGTCTTTGGGGTCAAGGCTGTTGGAAATGGTCCTCACCCAGTCCTCCTGGGGCCGGCTTGTGCTTTAGGAAATGGCTGTGAGGTGAAGAGGAAGAAGAGTTGATTCCCCAAGACTCATAACACTCATAAGGGCGTGAGGCCCCCAAACTGAGCATGACGTTGGAGACCATCTTTCCTGAAGAACCACAAAGAAGGAGCTTTACTTCGGGACCAGGATGGCAGCCCAAGCACAACGCCCAGCCCCCACCACTGGGCTCCAGACGCAGGTCTCCAGAAACCCTTCCCCTGGTTTAGCCTTGTGTCTCTCAGCACAAATTCTGTCCTGTCCAGGAGCCAGCTCACACCCCATGGAGTGCTGCGGTGCAGAGGAATGGTGTCTGCCTGAACCTCTGCCACCCCGGGCTCATGCTGTGACGGGGAGTTGAAAGAGCGTGTACTGCAGCCCCTTCTCTCTCAGACATTCTTACTTCATGACTGAGCTCAACTCAAAGAATTCATCCTGGTTCAACTTAAGGACTGCAAGAGAACTAACTACCAAGTGGCTGGAGCTGAAAGGAAGAGGCAGAGAAGAAAAGAATATACCACTCGGGTCGATAGGCCCAGTCAGGGGGTACAAAAGATGCCTCCAAATGTCAGGGAGTTGCTACCACTACAACCTGTCTGTGAAAAGAAAGTAAAGGACTGTCGGGCCTTGATCTGGGCTTGGTAGCGCAGGAACTCTTCTGTGTAAGCAGCGTGGGCACAGTATTTTAGCCACATGTTTAAAACAAGGGGCCGGCAGGCCCATGTCCATGGCCTTTATTTCAACTTTAAAAAAAAGCACTGGCAATTAATCTGGTAAAACACTGGAAGCTTATTTCTCAACGGAAGCAGAGGTTAAGAAGTCAGATAAAACAGCGGGGTTTTAAACTTTTTCTTCAATTTCTAACATGAAAAACCACCTGGAAAGGAGAAAGTATTCTACCTTGGATCTAGACCATTTCAGGGAAGTGTTTTTATATTAAATTGTAGCTGAAATGAAGTGGCCTGAACTGGCACATCTCTTATTATTCCCTGTAATTGTCAAGCACTCCCTGGCCTTTTCCAGCATTTCACACTGACCCATCTGAGGAGAGAACAGTAGGTGGGAGGAGGGGAGAAGTCCCAAGAAGGAAACCTGAGTCTGCTGCTGCTGCTGCTGCTGCTGCTTTTTGCTGCCACAAGGTGTCACTTTTGAAAACTGATCCCAAATAGCCTGACCCCAGGATACACTCCTTCATTGTTGATCCAGACCATTGCCAGGGACTGCATGGCTCTTCCAAGCAAAACAACTTAGAAGTTCTTCAGCACTAAGTTCAACCAAAGGTGCCCCCGATTGCAATTCTTTTGGGTTTTGTGCCCGCCCATGCCTCCTATGCTAGCCACTGACCCGCTGACCCGAAACACAGCTTCACCTTGACCCTCGGCCTCTTCCGTTCTCAAAACACAAAGGCTGTGATACACACCGCTTTATGCTCATAGGGGTTACTTCCCTGCATCTTCCTAGGGAAGGCTCTTCCCTGGCTCCAGGGGCCCTGCACCCAGACTTGTAGGGAGGGGTCCCCCTCACTGGCTCCGATGCGATTCACCCTAAATCTCCCCTTCAAAGGAGAGCAGGTGAAATGATTCTGGGGGCCTTACCTGGCCCATTGTAAGAGAGGTTGTTACCCTCAGAAAATCCAATATGGTTTTCTGGACCCTTCTCTAAAAGGGGAGGGAGGTCTACATTTAATGGCTGGTCAGACAGTTCACTATATTATGAACAGGGTAACTTAGTTGTTGGTGAAATAATTTATCTTCATTCACAATTAAAAGGTATCACGAGAAAGTAACTTCTGAATAAAGAACAGGGAACAATGACTATAGTTAAACAGTCTCAACCCATTTGCCCTTGATTATATAATGGTACATAGTTCTGTTTACTCCATCAGGGTATATAGCAGGGATGTTACCTGGATGTGGCTCCTGACCCACAAAATCTGCCATGTCTGCCATTTCCTGTTATGCAAACGCCTGTTTTTATCCACTTGGAAGAACCAGCCTAAAAATACATACAAGGTGGGTGGGGGGGATGTAGAACAGCAGAAATTGTAAATATAAAAAGCAAAAAACAAACAAAAATAAGATATAAATCTGCTTATGCTTTGTTTCCCCAACTAGATTCCAAGGCCCAAGGGGAAATGACCATTCTAACTTCTCTTTGAATTCCTCACAAAGCCCATTACACTACATATTATTTAAACATGTCAAAATGAATACTTGCCCATTGGGTTTTCAATACTAGTTGTATCTCTAGAACTTTAAACTGATAAGGCCTTTCTATTCATCTTGAAGGCAACTCATTCTGAAATGAGAATAATCTCTAGTGACTAGACCGTGAATGTGAAGTTAAGTAGCTTTGCTGCTTGGGGTGACATCAGTGCTCCAATCAGGTAGGCTCTGAACCCTCGTGCCGGTGAACTTTAGTCCCAGCAGGTCTCAGCAAGAAGCTGAGAGATGGGTGGAACTTTGAATATTCCTAAGGCTCCCTGGAGTTGCTTTGGGGGCTACAGAGTGAGGAAGGAGAGGTATAGTAACTAGGTTCTCTGTACCTTCCTCACCACCCCAACCCCACTTCAACCAAGAAGGCACCCCTCCCGGGCACAGAAGGAGAACTGGACCCATCGAGGCTCAGAAGAGAGGACACTGCCCAGACTGGGTGGGGGTATGCTATCCTGGACCTTCTTTGCCTCCACACATGGAAGAGAATTTGGGAACGCAAGTGGGGACACTAAAAGTGCTTACTCTCCTATGTGATGTTGCTATTTGGATCACTCAGCCGTGTCATTCAAAGCAGAGAGTCACCAGCCCTTCTGAAGTATACAAAATCCCACCTGATCGGTTAACCCTCATTAGACCCATAGGCCGTTAGTTAGGGAGACTGTGCCTCATTTACCTATTAACCCCAAATGAAAATCACAACTCGTCAGTTGAAATAGTGTCTTGCTTAGTTTGGCTGATGGATACGAACTAAACAAATGGTCTCTGTCCTTGGTGGGTTGAATGTGATGTGAACTGAGCCTTAGATCCTTATCTCTCTATTCCTTACCTTGCACCTCCCACTCAGACCACCACAAATAGCTCTGCAAGGGAGGGTATCCTATTGAACTTCCATGCATTTTAGCATATGTTGTTTCTTCTGTGTGGGGTACCCTTCCCCTCTTCTTCTTGGTGAATCCCTACTCTTTCTTCAAGACCATGTTTTAGAATTTCCTCTGTGAAACTGTGTCCTGATTCCCAGTCATTCCCTGTTGTGTCACCACTGCTCTGAGTACACCTCTGTTCTAATGCTTACCATGCTTCACTTACGTCTCTTGCTCCTTCCTGAGCCATGAGCTAGTCAAGGCTGCGTTTGTTTCGATGTTACATTTCTATCGTGAAGGCAATGACTGACAGTAAGTGCTGAATGAATGAATGAAACAATGGGATGCTTTTGAAGGAGTCTACACCAAAGAATGTTTAAAAACCAAATTAATTTTTGATATGATTAGAGTCCTGACTTAAAGAGTAAAGCAGAGAAGGAACAAATAGGCAGATATACAAATGAAGCAGCATTAATAGTGAGGACTGCTCCATAGGAACTGGGGATGCTTAATTTAAGGAAAGGAGGACACTGGCATAGGCAAAAGATGTGGAGGATTCACAGAGGTCTTCAAATACATGACCTTAAAGCTGCATATACAAGAGGGACAGCACATGGTCCCAAGAGGGGATCACTAGATCTCCCAGGTGGCAGGTACAAGAAAGGGCGTTTTAGCTTAACATTCTGTAGTAGTAAGAGTTGTCCAAAATAGAATGACCTTCCTAAGAAAGTGATGAATTTTCCGCCACTGGAGGAATGTGAACTGATACTAGTCTGAGCACCTAATAATGGCATTGGATTAGATGAATATTAAGGCCACCCCAAATCCAAGATCCTATGTTCTTACTTGAAATGTTCACCAGTAAAGCTGGTAGTGGAAACGCCCTATGAAGTCACTCAAATTCATGAGAGACACAGGCAATTCCTGGTTTGAAATGCTGAGTTGGAAATGCTAAACCACACGAAAACCTAGATGAGCTATAATGTGCAGAGGAATATGATCATGCCTATCAATAACTTTTGATACAGAACTAAGAAATACCTCTAGGAAAGAGATCTGATGCTTTCTGAAGACAGAAGCTCAATGAACCATAGTCACACAAAATGTTAGGATCATATCATAGTGGAGACAGGATACAAAGCAAAATGTATGGTCCCACTGGCAAAGACATCCACTGTAGAAATCTGGGACAACTTGTGTTCTGATAGTCAAATTCCAGGAAGAAATAGAGGAGTTGGATGAGGCCCAAAAGAATGAACAAGATGGTGTCACCACCATTCAAACACTGGGATTAAGGAGGCCCTTCACTCTGAGAGGGAAGTGGATTTTGAGTAGAAGCGCGAGTGTTCAACAAATTCTGGAATGTGGGCAGTGGTTTTGCCTTCCTTCAGAATCACAGGAACTTCTTTTCATCTGCCTTTATTTACCAAATCAACAGTGCACAATGGCCAGCAAGCACTGTTAGCATGTAACTATCCGAGGTTGGATTGGGTTTAGCTACATGAGGTGGAGACACCAAACCATGGTCCTCCCACGGTAGCAGCAGCTATGGTCCCACATGAGTAATTTGTGACCCCTAACTGAAATGTGAAGATATTGGAAATTATTTGAGTTGTGGTTGTGGTGAATTGAGCTTTAAATTCTTTCTGTCAATGTTCAAAAACTGGCAGGAAGGGACCATTTGATTGGCAAACTAAGACACTGGAAAATGGAAAGGGATCATTTACAAAAAGGCTGAGGAGGAAGAATAAAAGAAAGTGCCCTTAAAAAGAATAACTTGTAAACAAATATATTAATTAATAGGAGGGGGAGAGTATGGCATAGATACTCAGTATATAGTCATTGGGTTGAACTAAATGATGCGGTGGGAAGGGCATTAAGCTGGAAATCAGTGTAGAAATTCCAGTTCTGGCTTTGCCATCAATCACAGGACTTCTGACTAATCATTCTATCACTCTAGGCCTTAGCATTCCCATCTATAAGTGAAAGATGAACTAGTCCTTAAAGTGTGAATGTTCTCTGATTTGATTGGGTGCCAAAAGGATTAAGTTCTTACTTTGAAAGGTCACCTGTTGTTGAACCAAAACTGTGCCAATGGCTAAGGCTCTTGTGTAATCAAAAATAGCACAACTGAGATTACCGAATTTAGGTTTAAGAAGTAAATAACCCATAGGTGCACAGTCCTTCAAATCATGTTGTAGTTCACTTTCCCCCAAAGAGAGCCAGTTCATGATGGTGAAATTTTGTGAAAATTTGGTTTCTGTGGAGAAGCAATTGAAAACAGCCCAAATGTATTGCTTATACAGGCTCGGTTTTCATTTGTGGTTTATTTCACTTGTATTTCAACCGTGTGGTTAGCACTTGAGTTTTGCTTTTAGTCCTTATTTAAATGTATGTGCACTGAGCCTAAGAATAGTGTCTTGTAAATGAGCCTGTGTATTTAGCTAGGTACGGGAAGGTTGCACAGAACCAGTTTCCTGTTAAATAATTAGGACTTTTGACAGTTAATCTTGCTTCTCCTATTCTCTCTTTTGTTTGTGTTTGCTTATTTTTTCTTAAAATAACATAACAGAGGTGACACACGTGCAATAGTTATTCCTATCCAAGAACAGCTTCATGTAGTGGAATTAATTAAAGCACGCTCGGGAGCCCCTTCTTATGGACACTGAGACCCAAGAGGGCAAAGGCCTTGTCCAAGTTCAGTGTTCTTTTCATTCCACCAAGCAGCCTCTAATGGGTATTATTTAAACAAAGCCTCTGGAGCTTGAGTAGGACAGTGGAGGGAACAGTGCCCACAGATGAGGGCTCCTTCAAATGCATGACAAAAGCATTTGGGGAATGAAGGCTGTTGAGTAGGAGGGAGCTTAGCAACTTGATAGAATTGTACTCAGAGACTCAAACTGCAGCTTCTGCCTGAAAATTCTTCAGTGCCCTCAGAAGTAAAGTAAGAGAAAGAGAGAGAGAGAGAGAGAGAGAGAGAGAAGAGGGGAGGAGGAGATGAAAAGAAGGTGGAGGAAGAGGAGGAAGAAGGGAGGGGAGGAGAGGGAGCAAGGGAGAGACACTGAGTAGTACACGTTAACTGTGTTTCTTCTGTGTCTGATGCAGAATTAAATGTGTTTATTAAGAATTACCAATGAACTTCCTGTTCTATGTCACTAGCTCTTCACCTTTCATCAGAATTTCATCTCACCCTATCTTGCCTCACATCATTAACTTCTTCCAACAGTATTCTTGTTTTCCTTTCATTTCTACCCCCACCCCTACCACAAGGCAGCACTAATGGGAAACAAACAAACAAACCTGAAATGTTTAAATTAGCTGAGTTCCCCAAGGGACATTTTTATCAACTTTGGTTTATTCCCTACTTTTAATAAATGTGAGAAGTGCTAGGTACATAATAAGCACTGAATAAATATTTGTTGAATGAATGTTTATCTTTTAAATATGTCTTAAGTGATAAGATTAATAATGGCAGAAATTATATTCATTCATTCATTCACTTATTCAACAAATAATTATTGAGTGTCTACTGTGTACCAGGCACTGTTCTAGATGCTGGAAATACATCACCAGCAAAAAAGTGGGCAAGTTGTCTGAACCTATAGAACTTATAGTCCAGTGAATGGAGCAGTGAAAATTAGTCATAATTGGGGGTCAGGATGCCTGGATGCGGGGATCCTGCTCCAGTACGTCAATGTAACACTGAACAAGTCCTCTAACCTCTCTGAGCCTCAGTTTATCCTCACAGAATGACAATATAAAAATACCTTATCCAGAATTCATTGTAAGGATTAAATATGACCTTTCATGCAAAGTTGCTCCATAAACACTTAACATTTGTATAAGCATCTATACAAACGGTATTTATTTTTG